GGAGGGGGAATCTAGCAAAGAAGTTCTTGCAAACCATTTAGAGGTCTGCAAAGAAACAGCCAGGCGTCCGTAGAGGGTATTTAGGGCTCAGCCTGCACCAGGATTCCCTAACACGAGAGGCTTAAACTGCCAAGGGCGTAACAAAATTGTAACGGCTGCATTGGCCAGAATATGCCTTTGACTGGAAAATCACTTTTCTACACTACGTTGTCCACACCCACGCAGGTTACTAATAGCATGAGAGAAGCTCAAAAGCGCTTTTGAGTATCGCATGCGACAATGTTCCCAAAAGAGGCACATGCTTCCAAAGAGGTCAACGAGAGGAGAAGTTGGAGATCCATGACAGACCCTCCAGAATCCGTTAACAGCGGCTGCAGATGATCAAGTGGACTTCAACTGGGACCTTCTTCCCCTGTAAAATTCCCCCATTGAAAATTCCACCCAACCCCTAGAAGATGATAGTTCCCCCCCAAAAGACATATGGGTGACTTCCATTTCCTCTACTAAGCAATTAGCAGCAGGGGAATTTTATTTAAAAAAAAAAAACAGAACAGGAAAAAGGTTTTTAAAAACATATTCCCCAGCGTCATCATGATTCTATCCTGAATTGAGTCCCACAGAGCCGCTACAAATGGAAATTTAGAAGGGACAAGAACTCCGACCACCGATCACCAGTGTCCCTTTTGATTGGCCCCTGACATCCCTTGAAATGGCGTTCCATTCCTTACCACATCCAGCCAGGGTGGCTAACTGCCTGGAGAGAAAAGATGCCCTGTTCCTTTAATAGATGCTAAATGGGATGCTTTTAACTCTGTGTGATGAAAACCTCCAGTTGTCAATCAGCACACATTAAGGCCCTCTTAGAGACACACCAGGGAGGAAAGGTAGCATGGTACAGCCCGATCTCATCAGGTCTTGGAAGCTACACAGGGTCATTACTGGGATGAGAGACCACCAAGGAAGACTATGCAGAGGAAGGCAAGGGGAAGCCACCTCAGCTTCTCCCTTGCCCTGAAAACCCCTTGCTGGGACGACTGTACGATTCCAACTTGACGGCACTTATGAACAAAAAGGTACATGGCATTTTCTCCAGGCTTACTGGAGGCCCTACATCCACCAGAAAGTCCTTATTGTCAAAGCTGGCCACAGTCTTGCCCAACCTTATCGTCTCTCCTTAGAGTCCTGCTTATGTACCTTGCTCTTCAACCTTCACACCCCCAAAGTAGCCTGTTCTATGCATTTTCCCTCACTGCCAATATGCTAGGAACGCCCCCTCAGAACACCTATAGACAGCTGCTGTCTCCCCACCTCAAAGCTCACCTCTTCCTCTTGCTTAATATCCTAGTCTCCCAATCGCTCCTCTGGGCTGCTGTTGCCACAATGGAAAATGTGACCAGTTTAAACTATTAAGACTGAGATCTGGAAGGGAAAGGGTCAAGCCTGTATTCTGCCATGAAGCTTGCTGGGAGGCCTGAGGCCGGTCACTTTCTCCCAGCCTAAGCCTAAAGTTTTTAAATGGTTGTTGTGAGGATGACATACGCCACCTAGACTCATAGAGTTGGAAGGGACTTCCAGGGTCATCTAGTCCAACCCCCACCACCACCACACACAACCCCTGCTCCATGCCCAGAAGATGGCAAAAAACCTCCAGGACCACTGGCCAAACTGGCCTGGCCTTGAGCTCCCTAGAGCAGGATAAAAATGTAATAAATAATAAATAACTGAATAACATGCCATAAGTAGCCACTATCCAGACAGCACACTTTTGCGGGAAAGACATAACTTCAGAGTTTACACGGTCAGTACAGGCAAGTCACCTGACCCAGATGGCCCAGGCTAGCCCAATCACGTCAGACCTTGGCAGAGGAAGGCAAGAGCAACGCTCCTCTGTCCACCTCTCGCCTTGAAACATCGTAAGTTGGCTGCAACCTGAAGGCACTTCCTCCACCACCAGTCCTCCAACTCATACTTTGAAAATGTGTCACAAGCAGAAAGATCTGTCAGACCACCAAGGTCATGAGAGGGCTATACCAGCTTTATCACGAAGAATCACAAAGCAGTTACTCTACGCAACCGATTCCAAAGAGGCATTGTATGCCTGCTTTTGATCTCCATCTCCCCGTCATTTCTTTCAGAAGCTCCAGTTGGGTTTGGTAGGTGTCAATATCACTGTGGTTTTTCTGCTTCAGGTGCAAGTTTGCAAACACATCTAAAGCTGGCAAGGATGCTGATCCAAGAGGCATGACATCAGCTCTGGATGTCCCGGAAGCGCTGCCAGGTGTGTGTCTTGAATGCTGAACTTCCCTGCGCTACAGAATTCCCATATTATACCTGTCTTCTTTCTCACCCTGGCACACTGCCTCCAGGAGGAGGCTTTCCTGTTGGAGAAAAATGCTGCACGGGGGAGACGGATAGTAGCGGCCGCACAGCTTTTTTAAAAGATTTAAAGAACACCCTGAGAACAGATCTCCTATGGAATGCACAGTGGGCCATGTTGTCAGTCATTGTGCATGTCCCAGCGCATACTGTCGAACTACAAATATACAACTGCAATGCTAAAAGTGGATCTACTATACTCCCACCTGAATGCTTAAGCGCTCTTTTACTCCAAGCAATATACACGTAAATCAGTTCAGCCCAGTTTTGCTTAAAACCACAGCTCGTCGCAGTAAATACTTTGAGCACTTTAACTCTGTTTTGCTTCACTTGATACAGAGGAGAAGGTGTATGCATCTCACCGTGAAGAATACACACAACTGTCTCCCTAGTGTAGCCTTCAGCCTAGAGTTCTTGCCAAGAGCTCACACACAAACTCACACCTTTTGATCCTGGAGTATTTGATCCAGACAAATGATCACACCTTGGTTTCCTATTCAAAATTACTCTGAATATTCACTCCAGCTGCAAAAGCACAACAAAAGAGTTGGGGGAAAAAGTCCACTTTTTAAAAACTATTCTTTCATTATCTTGATTTTGAGTAGGAAAAGCAGTTTGATGTATGCCCTGGCCAATTCATCCTTAGTACAATTTAGCTTTGGAGACTGTGTTAACTGCCGTATCTGGACCTAGGAGAGACAGATTCAATCCAATCCCCACTCAGCTATAACTGATCGCTGGTAATCTTGGGCCCATCACTTACGTTCAATCTGGTGCATCTCACAGGGTTGTTTGTGTGGGTCAAACACAAGAAGGGCTTGTTAGAGTTGCTAACAAGCCTGAAGAAAACTGTCCTGTCCCTTTAACAGAGGCACATATGTGGAAATGGGCAGTTGAAGCTTTTCATGGCATAAATAGCACCTCATTAAGACACTACTAAAGGGACAAGACATTCCCCCCCCCCAGACAGTTGGGAAACCCTATTAATATGCTACCCTGAGCGCCTTGAAAGAAGTGTGAGATAAAATAGTAATAAATACTGTAATGTAATAATAAATAAATTTTAAAAATGCAGTATCTAGACAGTCAGTCTGGGTGAACAGCATCAAGGGCACTGGGAAGCAACCAGTTTTGCTTACAGAGTAACATATCGTTGATTAATGTTGTCTGTTTGGGACTGACCCAACCCAGCAGATTACACCATGATCTAGAGATTTATGAAGTGGGTAATATCTCAGAGATATTTGGGATGTCACACTCAATACTTCACACCTGTCACTAACAAATCCTATAGTGCAGGGAAACATGTCAAACTCTTCCTTCTCTTGCTTTCAAGTATGTGATTTTCCAGTCATAGGGTTCCTTACCTGTCTCCCAAGTAAAAATTTACCAGCGTCCACTTTCCCTCCCACAAAATGCCCAGGTTTCACAAACAAGCTGTTTAGAACTAGTTACCCCGCAACATCTTAACCATTACCATGCTGACAATCAGGATAATTAAAGAAGAGATTATCTTTCGCCACACTCTTAAGGCATAGCTATGGGTGAAAAGTGCAATTCTGATTAATTGCTTATTTTATTCATTTAAAATATTCTTATGAAGCCTTCCCACCTGACCAGGGTGCCCAAGGCAGCAAGCATAAAACCATTAAAACGCCTGGATGATTTAGAACACTTAAAATTACAAAATGATTCAATGAAAACTCATACACAATTCATGTGAGCAACTGTGAATATGGAACCAGAGACAGTACTGATTTCAAAGTTAGCACCAAGTACATGATGCTTCCTTTGGCACATGGTGCTTCACTTACCAACTTTTGGGGCAACCAGTTCTGGGGTTGTACAGAGAGTCCTAGAAGAATGGCTGTTGCTGGTACGCTTTCCACAGAGCTCCCATTATTATTTATTTACTTCATTTGTACCCCATCTTTCTCCCCCAATGGGGACTCAAAGCAGCTCACACCATTCTCACCTCCTCCATTCTATCCTCACAACGACCCTGTGAGGTAGCTTATGACTGGCCCAAGGTCTCCCAGCAAGTTTCCATGGCACACATCTTTCACGGGGCTTGCTCTTTATCGGGGGCACCCCTCCATTCCCCCTCCACCACAAAACCATCCGAAATGTTACCAATTTCTAGTGGGATCATGGTCAAAAAATACTGACCAGAGGAGAAAATCGAGGGGTGAGGGTTGCTCAGATAAAGGAGCCCTCATGTTTCATGCAAGCTGCTGGGGTCTGACCTACTTGCACAACGAGCACTAAAATAAACCAGGCGGGAGCCTGGGGGGGGATAACGGAAGGAACCGTAGTTTGTACATGCTCAGGAGCAGTGTTCCCTCTAAGCTGAGTTAGCGTGGGCTAAGCTCATAGTTTTTTAGCCTCCAGCTCACACATTTTTGTCTTCGCTCAGGATGGATGGCTCCAGCGCAACCTAATTGATGCAGTAGCCAAATCGCTCGCTCACAACTTTAATGCCAGCAGCTCACAAAGTAGAATTTTTGCTCCCAGGACTCCACGGCTTAGAGGGAGCATGGCTCAGGAACGATTCTTTCCCCGGGTCTTGCAGGGGCTGGGCTCCCAGGGATCCCACCCTTCTCCGCTTCGCAAGAGCTACTCACCAGCCCCAAAGTCCAGCCGGCGGAGAGGAGAAAAAGCGCGAAGTTTTGCATCCCAGCCGAGAGCCAAGGAGCAGCGGGATCAGCTACCCAGGGCCGGGGGAGGCGGCGGGCTCCTCTGGGGACTGCCTACGCTGCAGAGACGGTCCCACCGCAGAAACATAAGGAGGGCGCGGCGGGGAGCCCCCTTCCCCTCTCCAGCGCGCTCGCGCTTCTCTCCCGGGGCGGTGGCGGCGCACACGTGGGCCACTCCCGCCGGCCCTGCGCCCAGGCTCCAGTCCCAGAAACTTGGCTCTCCGGTCAGATGTCAACCGGCAACGGCTGCTGCCTACGACGCGTTCCAGCCCGTGGTAGCGCTAGTCCGGCGCGCTGGCTCGCCCGCTACTGTACAGCGAGCCCCGAACTCCGCCTCTCCACCGCCGGCTTCCTGCCGCCCCTCCTTCTCTGGGGCGCACTCCAATTAGTGGCCGCTTTCCACGCGCTTGGGTTTGGGACGCATGCGTGACAGTGAGAAGTGCAGCAGGTGCAGCGTTCCCAAACACTGAGGTACAGTGTTGTCCAATGGTTGTTTTTTTAAAAAAGTAGAGATGGGATCAGGAAGACTCCTGGTTCAGCAATAAAAGCTTCCCAGGTGGCCCCGGACGATTCTCAGCCTTAATGACCTACCTCACAGGGTTGTTGTGAGACTCAAATAAGGTAACCCCCACGCTGAGCAGCTTGGAGGACCGACGTCGTGAACCCATGTGTTTAATGGTAATTGTTTTAAATTTAGATTTAGACTGGTAGCCATGGTGGCCTGAAGCATCAGAACAAAATTTAAGTCTAGTGGCACCTTTAAGACCAACAAAGTTTAATTCTGGGTGTAAGCTTGAAAGCTCATACCCAAAATTAAACTTTATTGGTCTTAAAAGTGCCACTGGACTCAGTCTTTTTTTTTATGATTGTTTCACTGTTCTTCGCTATGCTGGATATTTGTGTACTTTTACAGTGGCCTGAAAGTTGAGTTTATTCTTCTTTGCCACATTGGAATCAGGAGGGCTGGTCTTCCCAGTTCTTCAAGTAAGTCCATGTATTGGACCACCCTTTCCCTTGCCACAGGGCTGAGCACACATTCCCAGGCCTTATGCATGTTTACTTGAAAGTAAGTTCCACTGTGTTCCTGAGAATCCCACCCAGATATGTGCAAAGACAATTGCAGGTTCTTGCCGACAATTGCATTAAACACCAGGACCGAATGCAATATAAATTAAATAATAATAAAATAGAGGGCATATATAACATCTGTGCAGATATAGATCGCTTTCCTTCTGTCCTTTCAGAGCAGTGTGATTTTCTGTCCATGATGTGGCGCTCACTTTTTCCTTTGTGTGCTGATTGCCCAGCAAAGATTATAATTGCTTCTCATGCCACAGTGAGGTGCTTTGTGAAGTTTCACCTTTGGGCACTCATTAAAGACCAAAAGCTGGAACGCATCCAAGCGCCAAATCACATGCCACATTTGCCAGATTGAAAACTAATGAAGGAATCATCTATTTTTAAAGAGCTAATTTTTTAAAGTTGATTGTAGAAGTAACTGTCCCGGAAAACAGGGGGGAAAACCCGCACCGATTCAAATATCTGCATCTGTGTGCTTTATGCTTCTTCTCTGGTGTTTGAGGGTACACTATTAAACACCAGTCACTAAATGGAGGTCTTTGAGGAGAAAGAGTGGATCACATGAGGCCTGATTAAGATCCTAAACCAAGCATCCCCAGCCAGTTTGAGGCAGGGTGGTGGGTCCTACTCAGGGGTCATTTCCTGTAGGAGCGCCCAGGGGGTGGGCACATTCAACAAGCCCCACCCCCTGCTCCCAGCAGCCCTCAGTCAGAGCAAGAAGCAGTCAGGTAAGCTGCAGAGCCCCCCCCCCCGGCCCCCCAGTCCAAAACAGTCCAGTGGCACCTTTAAGACCAAGTTTTATTCAGGTACAAGCTCTCCCTCCTCTGTGAGGACAGATCTGCACGTTCCCGCCCCCCCAATAGCTAGCAATCCGAAACAGTCCAATGGAGCCTGAGCAGTGGGCGTTGCCTTCTGACACACTTCCGGTGATGTCAGGGGGTGTGGCATATGCAAATAAGTTATGCTAATGAGTTATGCTAATGAGCTCCTGCACCTCTTTTTCTACGAAATGACCCCTGGTGCTACTACAAAATGGCTGCCACAGAGGGTGGAGCCAAGCACACAGACACACCCAAGAAAAAAGGGGAGGGAGAATATAAACATACAGAAAAGACAACTGGTGAGGTAAGGGTGCTCTGCTACTGTGACGTTCCCTTCCCACCCAGCACCTCACAGCTGATCTGTGGGTCCTGCTTATAGAATCCTGGATCCTTCTGCAGTGAGCAGTGGGGAGGACCCAAGTGAAGCTCCTTTCTTTGTATGAAGACAGCCAGTCACAAGGTTGCTAGCTCCAGGTTCAGAAATACCTGGAGATTAGGGATGGAGCCTTGGGAGCAGCGTTCCCTCTAAGCTGAGTTAGTGTGAGTGAGCTCACAGTTTTTTAGCCTCCGGCTCACACATTTTTGTCTTAGCGCAAGAAGGATGGCTCCAGAGCAAACTAATTTATGCAGTATCCAAATCGCTCGCGCAAAACTTTAATGCCAGAAGCTCACAAAGTAGAATTTTTGCTGACAAGACTCCACAGCTCAGAGGGAGCATCGCTTGGGAGGCCAGGCATTGGGGAGGGATTTCACCAGGATATGATGCCACATAGTCCGCTCTCCAAGGCAGACATCCCCCCCCCCCGGGAACTGGTCTCTGTCCCCTGGAGATCAGTTGGAATTCCTATGGATCTCTCCACCTGGAGATTGGCAACCCGGGGTTCTGCCTTTCGTCTGCTTTCCTGAAGCACATGGCAAGAGCTTGGGGGTGCCGTGTTAGGCCAAAGCACACAGCAGGTGCTTGGGAGTGCCATGTTGGGCAACCCTGCCCGAAGTTATGTCAAGTTTAACAGACCCCACAGTATTACCAAAAAAAGCATCAGTACATTTTTGGGTTTGGAGGCCACTCATCGTCCTAAACTGTAGCTACGTAGCTTGTGTGTAAATCTGGCTCTGGAATCCCAGCCGTTGTCCTCCTTGTGATTTAGTAATGGGATGACTATGCTTCTTGGGACTTTTGCCAGAGGGGGAAGAAAAAGAGAAACGCGCCTTGAATGCTGAAAGGCACCATCAGGAATCACCTTTTTCATTGTCTGTGGTTCATTTTTTCTGGCCACCACAAGAGTCATTCCTGATGACTCATTTGAACAAAACTTTGTGAAGATGCCACCCTGCACTGTATACAAGTGTGATCAGCCCGTTCGCACGCATTCTGTGTGGTGCTTGGCTCCACCCCCCCCACCCCCCTGTGGACTGGCCTGCCTGAGGAGGTCGGGAAGGCTCCCATACATCTATCAGTTTGCAAAAGCTTATGCTGGAATAAATGAATGCGTCTGTCAGAGCCGGCTCTGGCTCACACCACAGTACATTTGTTAGTCTTTAATATGCCACAAAAATCTTTGTGATTTTGACAAGTTAATTACATATTGTATGAAAAAGTACTTTGTTTTGTCTGTCCTGAAACGACTACTAATCTGTTTCAAAGGGTGACTCTGAATTCCAGTATTATGAAAGAGAGAAAGAGTAAAAAATATTTCTGTTTGCTTTCTCCAAATGCACAATTTTGTAAATCTCTTATATGGCTTCCCTTTAGATGTCTTAAAGTAAACCACTAACAAGTCCTGCCCAGATACTTTGGCACTCTTCTTTTAGAGAAGAAGGATTCACCCTTCTTTTAGAGAACGTGCTCTAATCCTGTGGTTGCTTTCTTCCTGCCCCATTTTCTGCATCTATATGAACCAGTTGAATGTGGTGGTTAGGAGTGTGGACTCTAATCTGGGAGAACCGGGTTTGATTCCCCTGTCCTCCACATGCAGCTGCTGGTGTGACCTTGGGTCAGTCACAAGTTGTTTCAGAGCTGTTCTCTCACAAGCAGTTCTCGAAAGAGCTCTCTCAGCCGCACCTACCTCACAGGAGGTGTCTGTTGTGGGGAGGAGAAGGAGACTGTAAGCCGCTCTGAGACTCCTTCAGGTAGTGAAGGGCAGGGTATAAATACAACCTCCTCCTCCTCCTCCTCCTTTCTGATATGGAGTGGCCAGATATTGCTCCCTCTGCCTCAGTTCCTGTCTGTGTCTTTCTGCTGCACAGCCAGAGTGGTATGGCGATTCAAGTGTTGGCCTAGGATCTGGGGGGGACCAAGGTTAAATCCCCGCTCTACCATGGAAGCTTCCTGGGTGACTTTGGTCTCGTCACTGTCTCTCAGCCTAGCCTACCTCATGGGTTGTTGTGATGAAGATAAAACAGAGGTAAGGAGAACAACATTGTGAGCTGTTTGGATCACCATTGGAGAGCAAAGAGAGGCATAAATCTCTTATCTCGAGCCTGGCTTTGCCCATATCACATTAATAACTACCTCTGATGTGTCAAGATGGGTAGCCATGTTAGTCTGTCGATAGCTGTAGAAAAGAGTAAGAGTCCAGTAGCACCTTGAAGACTAACAAAATTTGTGGCAAGATGGGTAGCCATGTTAGTCTGTCGATAGCTGTAGAAAAGAGTAAGAGTCCAGTAGCACCTTGAAGACTAACAAAATTTGTGGCAGGGAATGAGCTTTCATGAGTCACTGCTCCCTTCTTCAGACACCTCTGATGTGGACTACCTTAAGAAAGGACAGAAAAACAGGAGGAGGAAGGTCGCTATGGCTGATTCTGCATTGGCTTTTCCCTCTGTTGTTTTGCAAAACCCACCTTGGAACAGAAATTCCCCCTCTGCATTGCATGCTGCTGTCACTGCCTTTGATCATCGGATTTTATTTTACCTTTTTTTTAAACCTTGTTTTATCATTTTAGGGCCGTTCAGGGGTGCCTTTGAGCTGCACTTTTCCCTCCCAGTTGAGAAAATGTGGAGTGAATGCTAGATGCAGAATCGCCCTATGTCTCTGATTGGTTTTTTGGGATCAGTTGTCCAGTAAGCTTCATGGCTAGATGCAGAACTTGAACCCTCGTCTCCCTAGTCTTAGTCCATCCAGCAGTGCCAGTTCCAGGGGCCCCTTCTGCCCACCACCAGCCCCCCATCCCTCCCTTTCCACTCATCCACGCGTGTGTGCTCCCACCTGAGCGTGAATCCTTCCCTTTCTCACAAGCCCTACCACCATCTGCGCTCACAGCCACCTGCATAACACTCATGCCCTTTCCCCAACGGAACTGGCTGGGAGCATGCTTGGTGGAGTGCTTGCAGCCAAAGGGCAGGGAAAGGTGCTTGGATTGGTGACAGGGGAGGGGAATAGTTGGGAGGGG